CACTTGGTGTCAATGATATTCATCAAGAAATTGTAAATTAGGTTCCGCGATCTTTTGGCTTTCACGATAAGCTTACCATCTCTGTCATGGAGCGTTAAATACTCTTCTTTCATCCGAACGTCACACCCTGATTCAGAAGCTTGACCAAGAATAATAATGTTACTTTTAATCTCCGGTATAAAGTAAACATCTGCTAACACCTTCTTCTCACTGTTTTGACTAATAAACAATATTGAGCCCTTTTCTTTTATGTCAATTCTTGAATCATCTCTGAATCGTACCTTTCATGTTATTGTCTCATCTATGGTCTTGAAGTAATCACGTTTCCATGTCATGTGGTTGCTTGCAGCGTTATCTAAGTACCAAACTCTGTCTTTGTCGATACTGGTCTCGAAATCCTTAGAATTCACATTCTTCTCATTAAAGTAGACTATTTCATGATTTAAGAGCCCATTCGCCTCTTGGATATATCATCGTTTCTGTTCTTCTATGCCTCTTGACGCTTTAGTAATTTGTTAGGGCAGCTGGAAGCAAAGTGACAATTCTTGTCACAGCGGAAACATGTGATCTTAGAAATATAAAAATCACGATATGTTCTTCCACGAGCCCGACCTCTGCCATAGAAACCTCGTCCTCTACCCATGTTTCTATATTCTCCATTGTAATCATGATTTTTATGATATTTTTGAGTTTCTGAGTTTGCATACATCAATTTATCCTGATCATCTTGGTCGTTTTCTTCTTCTTCTCTAATCTGCTCCTCATATGCCTTCAATCGTCCAATCTTTCCATCAAAGCTTGTAACTTTTAGGTCAAGTACTTGCTCAAGGGACGCCACTATGTGTGTGTATTTATTTCTAGGAAGACTTTTGAGGAACTTTTTTACTATCTTTGATTCCTCGATAGCTTCACCCAAAGCTGCAGATTTTGAGGATATTTCAAATAACTTACCGACAAAGTCATCAATTGATTCAGTTTCCTTCATCTTTAACTGATAAAAATCTGCCATTAAGATTTGTAGTCTAGCTTCTCGAACTCTGACTGCTCCTAGATGACATACTTTGATTGCGTCCTAGACCTTCTTCGCGGTATCCAGATCTCTGACCTGAAGGACAAGCGCTTCAAAGATAGACATGAAAATAAGGTCATGGCTTCTCACTCTCAGTGGTTTCTTCCTCAACAATGTCTCAGACTTTGTGAACCTTAAGAAGATACTTCATACGAATGCCCCAGACTGTATAATTACTCGTACTTAACATCGGGCAATTGATAGAAAAGATCCTTGTTTAGGTTTTACGGTAATAGATGTGATATCACCCATGTCTTCACGAATTTGATCTCAGATTGGCTCTGATACCAATTTTTGTTTTAAACCTAATACTAGATTTTGATCCGCGCTTTAAAAGCGTGGAATTAACTTTTAGTTTAATATTTTATATAACAAAAAATTATTTATTTATTTTAAATTTTATATAATTATAAAAATATATAAGTATAATTTATTGTGCTTAATTTCTTAAGTGAAGGAAAATTATGAAATGTTTCATTCATATATTATAAGTAGTTTATTTATTTAAAATAATTCACATTAATTTTATTTTATAATTTAAATTCAAATAAAATAATTCATGGTTTTTACACTCTCATATCAATCAACTTTTTTTAAAAAAAAATTACATTGAAAATTATGTTAAAGGTTGGTTCAATGCATCTTGTACTTTTTAAAGTCATAAATTTACTTAATTTTTATAATAAAAAGAATATAATATATATATATATATATATTAAAAAAATTTCAAATATTTTTATTGAAATGTAATCTTAGAATTAATATACAGGAGGATTTTTCATTATTTTATTCATAACAATTAAAATATAATCCGAATGGATAAAGAAGTATTCAAAGTAGTAGATATTTCTTCAGTTTCAAATAATTCAGCTAATTGAGTAAAATAAAATATAATACACATAAAAATATATATAACATCTATGTATATATATGTTAATATAACTAATTATTAGATATGAAAATGAAAACTTATTGTGTAAAATATTTTCTTTAATTTTTTAAAAAGATATTTTTATAAGATAAAGTGATTATGATTTGCGTAGATATAAACTTGGCTTTATGATTTTATTAGTCATACCATAAGTAATGATTATACATCAGTAACAAATGGTTTGCTTAAGTAAACGAATATAAAATCTATTTTTTCTATTGATAACAATGTATTATTTTTTATATGTAGACGTGATATCTTGATTTCTTGTGTGAATTGTTACTAATTTGTTTAATTAATGAATATATCTGTTTCTGAGAGATTTTATGACTAATGAATAATTCGGTTAGATTTTATTTAGAAACATTCCTTTATTAAATTCGAATGTTTTAGGTAATGTTAATTTAATTTATTATGCAGAAATAAATGAGTGGCATATAAATATAATTAAATTAAAATGTAAGGACAAAATTTAAAATTTTCAAAATAGGATCATGTTTTGATAGTATAGATATGAACTCAAAGATTATAAAGAACACACTTTATTACTCTACAAGAAATATGAGTATTAGTAATAGTTCATTGTAGCACGAATTCACAGACTGCTACTAAAAATGTCAAAATCGGATACTAAATATATTGTAGCATTAGATTAGTGTTAGGAAATATTTTCATTAAAGGGAAACCCAAAAAAATTTTCGGTAGCTAAAAACATCTTTGGTAGGCGGTAGCTAAACATCTTTGGTAGTGTTTGTTGGATCTAGTACTGCGTCGTTTATGCTTGCATCTGCGATTGCTTTAGGATATCACCCCTAAAATTAAAATTTCATAAAAGCGAGTAACAAATATGCATACAAGAAGAAGATATATATCATAAAAATGGAAAACCAGGAGGAAGATACTATATAAAAGTTCAGTGTCGTGCGAAAGTTCGTAACAACATAAGGAAAATTTTAATATTAGGGGTCTTCGCATATAGCAAAGAAATATTTTTTTTGAAACACCCAATTTAAGAATCAAACTCAGGTCAAAAATCTATAAAACACACCAAAGTTACTTTAACATGTTTGGTTTTTTAATTAATAGAAAACCCCTAAAACCTGTGAACATTTTGAGGCCTGAGGTGAATGTTTTTTTGAATACACACTAACACGTCTCTGCAAAAGTTAGAAGAAATGTTTCACAAAAATGGGAAACTAAAAGAAAAAGGTAGAATATACGAGGAAGAAGACACTTATTTTGTTTATTTTTTTTAAAAGTAATTATAAGATATATTTGAAAATGTATTGCATAGATCTAGTAGTTTGTTTTGAAAATAAAAGTCATATTCTGGTGAAATTGTTAGTTTACATATTTACATAATTTTTATGAAAAATATATTACAACTAGGTGATTTTCCCGTGCTCATGCACAGGTATAAATATTTATTAAGTAAATATACTATAATAATTGATTATTATTTACTTTTAATTTTCAATTAATTTATAATTTTCATACATGATTTATATTAATAATATTATTTTACTTTAATTAGACATATTATATCTAGTCAATTTTATTATTTTATAGTCGATTTTACGTTATTATTTGGGTATATTAGATTACATTCTTTTATCTGAATTCAACTATAATATTTTTTATTCTAAATATATTAAATTTTGATTAATTCTATTATTTACTTTTAGGTTGTTTGCTGTCTCAGATGTTAATATATTTTAGAAAAGTTATTTATAACTTAAGATATATTATGCCTATAATGAAATATAAAATAATTTTGATTTCAAATTACATCAATCGATATAAAGATAATCTTTGAAGTCTCATGCATATATATAAATTTCACAAAATAAATCAAATTAAAGTAATATTATTTATCATTTAAATGTGCACGTATTTTCATAATATT